TCAGGAAAGTAAAGTGTTTGCACCCTGGCCCGGACAGAAGGAGGTAGCAGGTATTCCTGCCACCTCCCACTCTGATCTCAGCTGCCTGGTACCTGCCTAGGCACCTCACCTTTCACTTCCCCCAGAGCCTCACTGCAACCATCTCTCTGTGCCCCTTCCTGCCAGGAACATTCGCTGTTTGCTTCCATGAAAAGGTGGTGTCCCACGCTCCCTTCTACCAGGACCTTTCCAACCTGGCGTGTGGAACATACCATACAAAGATGGGCTTACGCATAACAGCTTCAGTGTCAGGGAATGTCTCCCTTGCCAGGTGTGCTAGCTTATGAAAGGCACCCTTTGACCCGAGACCTGCTCAGGGTGTATGTAGCAGGCAGCGCAGCATGGGTCAGGCTGCAGGATCCCAAGGTCACAGTGGCTTCAACGAACAAAGGGCTGTTTTCTGTTCATTCTCACGGCCATGCTGGGTCTGCTGGTAGGAATCCAGGTGAGTGGAGCCCCATCAGCTGGACCACCAACTGCTCACTGCCACAGCTAGTCTCAAAGGCAACAGGTGGAATGGCATGTTGGTCTTTAGGCGCTTTCTTGAGTAACACACGGCACTGTTGATTCTACTTGGCTATCCCAATTCCAGGAGCCTGAAGAAGTGCTATTCTACATGTGCCCAGAGAAGGAAAATCTGAATTTGGGGGACTAGCCCTAATACTTACCACAAGCCCCAAAGCAAGAGCCTTTAGTGCTGGAGAGAGTGGTGTTAGGATATACCTTGGAGCAAAGCACGCCCCATCTGGCATGCAGCAACCCCTGCTCCTGACTGACCCACATCGCTGTCCCAAGACTGACCAGAGGACCTCTTGAGGGTCCCTGAGTTAGGTGCCCCAAAATGAAATATGTATTGGCTGAAGAGTGAGTGGCCCAACTGCAGTCCTTGCTGCCAGGGGGTCCACCCTCTTCCTGCTGTGCACTCTGTACTGTAGGGTGCCATGGCATGGATTAGGGGGCAATATTTCTCCACCACAGCAGCTGAGCCCCTCCTCTGCCCCAGAACTAGAGCTGTCAGCCTCCCTGCTTCTCTGAGCCTCTTGGATGCTGGGCTCTATAGCATGAAGCTGGCCGCATGGGGATTGTGGGCTTTGAAGGTGAGACCTCCCAGCAAGCTCCTGCCTCGGCCGAGAACACCAGGCTTGCGATAGTGAGAAGCTGAGTTTCTCATCCACAGTGTCTCACTGCGTCTTGATCCTGGTACCAGGCGCCATGACATATTCAATGCAGATATTATGGGTGATATGTTTGTTTTGTAGCCATTCCTAAATGTAGAGTGCATGCTAAGTGATTTCTAGAAGCCATGTAGAAGAAAACAGCTGAAATGTTTGCAAAGAGGACGAGGCATTGAGTGGACAAGAAAACATGTCTCCCTAAATGGGCCCAGCAAACTGTGTTGCTGGGGGTGTTTTCCGTTGCCAGCTGAGTTGTGACTCTTAGCAACAGTCTCCTAGCAACCGTGTGTGCGGGGTACCATGCTCAGCTGGGATGGGAGGCTGGGTTGGAGGCTGTCAGGGAGTGAGAATGTGGCAGCAGAACTGCATGGGGAGGGGGCCACAGGAGCCTGCAGTCCTCAGCTCACCAAGTCAGAGGGTCCACTGAGACTCCAGGTCCCTCACTGCTCTGGCGGTTTCCAGGGGGCTGAATTAGCAGGGACATCTCTCTCTTCATTGCTCATCCCTCAGTTATGTGCATTTTATATATGAGCATGAACTACTTTTTCATTTGCAAGCCAAGATCTAAGGTCTCATGTCTCATTTCCTGGTTTTTGTTGGCAAGCCACTGGACAGTGATTGCTCCCTGCATGGGTTTGGTGACCTCAGGAAGGCATGGGGCTTTTGAGGATCTTGGGGTAAAAGAGGCAGAGGGCAGAGCCCCTGGAAACCGACTGGTTTAGAGCCCACCTTCCCTAGCTGCACAGAGCCTGAGCATTTCTTAAGGTCCATGTCTCTACTCTTTGAGGGTCCCTGAGTTAGGTGCCCCCAAATGAAATATGTATTGGCTGAAGAGTGAGTGGCCATGGAGGTAGGACCGTATGGTGAAGAACTAGGCTGACCTGGAGAGGTCTGGCCCTTGCCTTCGGTTCCTAGGAGGTTGTCTCTGGCCCCTGGGACGTCCTGCCTGGTAGGGGTGTCTGTTAGCCTGGGGGCTTTGGCCACAGGACAGTCTAACAGTGTGCTTTATGAAGGGACTTTGGGCCACACCAGATTTGCTTTAAACTGAAGTAGAGACTGGAGACTAAAAGGATTAACCCAACCCTCCAGCAGGGGCTAGAAGCTGAAGGTCAGCCATAGGCAGCATGTGACTGAGCCCCAGTGAAAACTCTGGACTCCACAGGCTCAGAGAGTATCTCTGGTGGATGGTACTCCATGCACATTATCACACATCAACACCCAGGGGCCCAGAGCCCAACTCTGTGGAAGACAAGGAAGCTCCCCCTAGACTCCCCCTGGACTCTGCTCATGCCAGTCTGTCTGTTCTTGGATCCTATAGCCTGGGTGTTTTAGCTAGAGTAAACCATAACTGTGAGCCTAAGAGCATTCAACGAGTCCTTCTCACAAATCATTGAACTTGAGGATGTTCTTAGGAACCCCAAGACTGTGGCCTTGTGACTGGTGTCAGAAGTGAGGGTGGGATGGTCTCTGGGGCTGTCTTCTCTCACAGTAAATGGGCTGAACTCCTCATGAGGACCTGTCCCTTGGGGCGCCCCCTGCAGACCACCAGGCAGATGAGCAGAGGGAGGCTGTGCTCTGGCTGGCCTGGCCTGCACTGTGTGGCACTGAGGCAGTTAACCCCACCCCAGCATTATCAACATTTTGGGACAGATGGTTTGAAGCTTTGTTTTGCTTTGAAGAGGCTTGGTGGTTGTGGAATGTTTGATAGAAATGGATGCCGAAGGAATGACTAGGAGTGAGTCCTGCCAAAGGCAGAAAAGGCCATCGCTCCTCTGTGAGGGGCAGGCACCTGCAGCAGGCCCCATGACCTCAGGGCTGTGAGTGAGAGGTAGGAGGGCTCCCAGGACGCAGAGGGCTGACTGGGGCTATGGTTCCATGCCCCGCTCCCTCCAGGAGAGAACTAAGATACCAGCCCGCCTCACCAGGATTCCGTGCCTACAGAATAAGACTGTGCGTGTGATGTGCCCACTGCCCCATGACCCTCCATCATCCTGAGCAGGTGGGGGCTCTCAGCCCTGCCACCTCCCCAGTCTCTGCCCCTCCTGGTCCTGACAGAGGGCGAGCACCTCCATTGCCATGGGGGAATATGAGGAGGTACTGGGCAGGCTGAGGCTGTCTCCTAGCAAGCATAAGCTAGGGCCTTCTCTCTGAGGGAGAGACGGCCCCTCCCCACACAGGAGAGAAGGCCCTGGTAGTTCCCTTCTTGGTGGCAGGTCCTGAGACTTGGGCCTGTCCTCCAGCCCAGTTTCTGTGGGAGGAGTGGCAAGGTTGAAGGAGAAACTCAGGACCCCTCCTAACACCAACAACTTCTTATTTTCTCATCCACTGTTGTCGAGCAACAATGTCCAGTAGAACTTTCTGGAAACATCCCATCTGTCTGACATAGTACCGATGGCCACCCTATAGGTGCATGGCTGCTGAACACATAAATTGCAGCCAGTGTGACCAATGGACTGAATTCTTCATTTTATTTAGTGCTGATTAAAATTTAAGTGGCCACAGGTGGCTAGGGCTACCATCTTGGACCACCCAGTTGGTGAGGTCATCTTCTGATTGGAAATGAAGTGAGAATGTATCCTTTTCTTCCTTCCTTCTTGTATCTCTAAGCACTTGGCATATGCAGTGTCCTCTGACCCCTGAGGAACTGAGGGGTGGGCAGTACGTAAGTAATCAAGATGATCTCTAGAAGGGCAGATGTTGCATAGAGTATAAGTCAGAGCGACTCAGGAGAGGCCAGAGTCCACCTCCGGGGAAAAGGTGAAAAGGCGAGGTCAGCTCAGGGCAAGGCTGCTTGTAAAGGCCCAGAGGCAGAGCCAGCTGGGGGCCTTGGAGGGAGTCCTGCACCCACCTGGGGAAGGAAGAAGCTGGGAGAGGAGAGCACAGACATTTAGGGCCTGGCGAGTGGTTTGATGTACTTCTAGCGTGACGAGAATTGGTATGTATCTCCCAGCTTGTCTGACTTCTCTTCAAAGAATGAAGGGTATAGTGGTTTGGATAGTGGCCCCCACAAAAGCACCAGGAACCTCATTTGAAAACAGGGTCTTGGGGTTGGCAGGTGGCATGATGGTTAAGTGCACTGGACTCCCACAAGGCTGATCACAGTTCAAGTCCTGGACCTGGCAGCTTACTTTCTCACTTATCTTCTCTCTCTCTCTGTTCCTCTCTGGTCAGATTTAAATAAATAAATAAATAAATAAATGTTCAATAAAATAATTATTTAAAAAAAGAAAGCAGGGTCTTTGCATATGTGAATGAGCTAAGGATCTCAATGAAACTCCTTTTAGGGTGGGCCCTAACCCAACGACTGAAGACTTTGTCAGAAGAGAGGAGGTGCAGACACAGAGAAGGTCACCTGCAGGGCCTGCTGCGATGCAGCTTTAAGTCAAGACATGTCGAGGCTCCGGAAGAGAAGTGCAGAACACATCCTCCTTCAGGGCCTCCAGGGGTTCGCTTTTGGACTTCTGGCCTCCTGATCTGCAAGCAATCATTTCACTATGTTAAGCTGCGTCGTCTGTGGCACCTTGTTGCAGCAGCCCCAGACACTACGGGGCAGGACGGCCCTTGGGAGGCCGTTTCACATCCAAAGCTGGGGTGGAGAGGAGTCAGACTGAGTTCTGTGTGGAGGGTAGGACTCACAGATGAGGGGCGGGGTCGATGTGGGGATTCCCTGGGTTTTTCACACACAGCTGCACAGTTGTGGGGCTCTCCCAGGGTGGGTTGAGCTGGAGTGGGAGACAGAGAGTCCTGCTGTGAAGTGTTGAGTTACAGACGCCCCTCAGATGTCCTGCTGGGTTCAGGTGATTCCCAAAAGTGCTGAGGAGCGCTGGCCAGCTGTTCGTGTCGAGTTTACCCACCACCCCACCATGCGCCTTCAGCCAGACACACCTCCAAGGCAGCTAGCCCAGCAGAGTGGACCAGGGCCCCTCCGTGCGGTCACTGGGTCAGCATGCTATGGATAGACTAGCAGTTTTACTGTAGCTCAGAGAACCCAGAACTCAGAAGTCCACCCTCCTGTGTGGAGCGTGAGGACAGCAGGTGACCATGGGCTCAGTATTTCGCCCTTCACAGTCCCTCCTCCTGGCCAGGCTGCAGCCCCCTGCCCTGGCTGTGCCAGCAGAAGGCCCAGCATGCTCATCAGGCCCGGCAATGCCTGTCTGTCACACTTCACGGTCTTCTGCTGTCAGCCATAAATCATGTGTTTCTCAGATATTTTATGGTGTTACCAGGAAATTTTCACAGCAATAGGCTGTCCTCATCCGTCTTCATCAGACCTCGTAAATCCTCCTGTCCACCTCCTCTGGCAAAGTCTGTGTGTTGGTCACCAGCCTGGGTTGTTTGGGGACATCACGCTCCAGACTAGCCTGGGTTGGGGCCAAAAGGCCTGGGTTCTGATCCCACTTCACACGCTCCCATTGTGATCTTGGGCAGGTTCATTGGCACCTCCTCCTTGCTTGCCTCATTTGCAAAACTAGGAATCGGCACAGAAGGATGTTGTGAGAATTGATATCTCAACCCATCGAACACAGACACCCCCAAAAAAAAATAACCTGAGAGGTTGGGCGGGCTGGACAGGGAGGTCCCCACTGACTTCTGAAATAGTCGTGAACATGTGGAGGTGACATCAGGACTAAGTCTTCCCTGGTCCAGGCACCTCGAGGCTTGAGCCTTCATTCAATCCCTCCACAGCTTGCAGGGTAGGTTATTGTCCCCATTTATCAATAGGGACACTGAGGCCTGGTGGGCATCCCATAGATGTCATGTCACACCGGATTCTATGATGTTAGTTCAAGCCGCTGTAACAAAATACCATAGATTGGGCAGGAGGCAGGGAGAGCTTATTAACAGATACTTCTAGTCTCACAGTTCTGAGGCTGAAAGTCCCAGTCAAGGTGCCGTCCCATTGGGTTCTTGGTAAGGGCTCTCTTACTGGCTTGCAGATACCCACCTTCTTGCTGTATCCTCACAGTGTGGGGAGAAGGAGAACAGACAGACAGACAGCACTCTGGCTCTGGTGTCTCTTCTTACAAGGGTACTAATCACTTTAGATCAGGGCCCCACCCTTATGGCCTCATTTAACCTTTAAGGCCCCATCTCCAAATGCAGCCATATTGGGGGAGTTGAGGCTTCAGGATATGCACTGGGGATGGTGGACAGACATTCATTTCCTAACAACAAACTGCACATTCAGCCTGGGGCCAGACAGGCATTAAGGAACTGACCTAGGTCGTTACTGGGTGTTGGAAAAGTCATGACACCTTATTGCCTAGGAAAGATACGGTTATGACTTTTCCAGTGAACCATTATTTCAGAGCAGGTGGAAAGAACGCACCCTGTGTGGGGTTAGAGGGAGATCAGGAAGAAGAGGTATTCACTCCCTCCAGGCCCCCAGGTATCAGCAGTTCCAAAGAAAATATAGCTTCCCATGTTTCTTGATAATACTGATGGAGTTACCTGTTCTGCTTAATTAAGTACTTCATTGACAGCCACCAGGATCTCATTTCTCCCAGCCTCGCAGAGGCTTCTTAAAGGCAAAGCAATTACATTTTTGTTCTGATGAGGCTACAGGAAGGTAATGATCCTTCTGCCTTGGGAAAGATAGAAAGCAGTTCAGTTGGTAGAGAGACCTCTCTGTATCTCAAAGAGACTGGCTGATGTTGATCAGGCTGATGTTATGGAACGCCTCCCACTCCGCCCGCCCAGTTTGCATTTTGGAGTCCTACCCTCCATTATAATAGTATTAGGCAGGGCCTGTGGCAGGCAATCAGTGTTAGATGAAGTTATGAGGGTGCAGCCTCCATGGTGAAATGGATTAGTGTCCTTATCAGAAGAACAGGGACCAGAGTTCTGGCTTCTAGAACAGTCATTCTATTCCCGTATTTAAGACAATCTTCAAGCATTCTTGTTTTAAGCTTCTGGTCACTTTATGGTTCTTTTAAAATACTCCCCCTCCTAATCCCCTAAGCCTCTGTTAACAGAGCTGAAAATGAATACAGCCCCAAACAAGGGCTTATCCAAGTCACATAGGAAGAGACAGATTTCAAATCCAGGAGTATCTCCCATGCAACCTCCAAATTAATTGCTCTTACATATGCATCCCCCATCGTCAGCTGAATAATGGTCCCCAAGATGTGCATGTCTGAATCCCCAGAGCCCATGACGATGTAGCCTTCTATGGCTAAAGGGACTTTGTAGATGCAATGAAATTGAGGGTCTTGAGGGTCTTGGACTGAGATTATCCTGGGTTATGTGGGTGAGTCTATATATCATGATAAGTGTTCTTTTGAGAGGGAAGCAGAGGAAGAGTGACACATACAGGGGAGAAGGCCAGGTGACCATAGAGGAGGAAACTAGAGTGATGCAACCACAAGCCAAGGAACACCAGTGACTCCCAGAGCTGGAAGAGGCAGGAAGTATCCTCCCCTGAAGCCTCCAAAAGGAGCCAGCCCTGCCAACACCTTGATTTTAGTCCAGTGAGATCTGGGCCAGACTTTTGAGCTTCAGAACTGCAAGATAATAAACGCACGCATGTATGTTTTATTTATTTCCTGCGAGAGAAGCATTCTCCGCAGGGCATCAGTGTTTCCCAGTTAGCCAGAATCACAAACACGCATGTTCACACCCAGCATATATAGGTCGACCCAAGAACTGAACCCTGAAATCCCACATGGCTCCCAGCATTGCAGAGCACTGTGCTACAGCTACACCCCTGCAGCTGAGCTGATGTGCATTTTAAGCCAGTAAATGTGGTCATTTGTTACAACAGCAGAAAGAATTTAGGAGCTAGCAGGTAACTTGGTGGTTAAGCCGCTAGATTCCCATATGGCCGACTGTGGTTCAAATTCTGGACATGGCGGCTTTCTCTGTCTCTGTCTCTGTTTCTCATGAGTGCACATGCCCTGTAGCAAATTAAAAATAATAATAATGATAAATAAAATTAATTATTTTTTTAAAAAAGGAATATAATACATTCCCCCTTAAGGCTGAAATGTTTAATAGTTGGAAAGTACTTAGCATAGTTCCTGGAGCTAGGCTGGGGTCTGCCTTCCCCTGGGACATGGCTATGCCTGGAAAGTAGGATCTTTGAGCTGAATCCAGGCCTGTCAGAAGGAGGACAGGGGACAAGGGAAAAGGTGCAGTCTATGCCCAGCACCTACAGTAATCCACTCTTCATCTACCTCCTGGCTGTCTGCTGGGGTCAGCCCCATGTTGGACATGTCCCCTATCCCCTCAAGGACAGTTCTCTGCATGGTCTTGGACTGATCTTTTTGGATTGTAGTTTTCAAGAATAATCTGTCCTCTCACTCTTTCATTCCATTTTCACATGAAGCCCTGAAGAACCAGCCTCGGGGACATTTCCAGGCCTTTCTGAGGGTTGCCCTGCGCAGTTTTCTAGGCCTGCATTTATTTTGATTACACACAATGAAAACGGTTCAGTGTATCGCGATGAGAATAAGCAGCAGTCAGCATTCGGATGTTTCTCATGAGTGCACATGCCCTGTAGCAAATTAAAAATAATAATAATGATAAATAAAATTAATTATTTTTTTAAAAAAGGAATATAATACATTCCCCCTTAAGGCTGAAATGTTTAATAGTTGGAAAGTACTTAGCATAGTTCCTGGAGCTAGGCTGGGGTCTGCCTTCCCCTGGGACATGGCTATGCCTGGAAAGTAGGATCTTTGAGCTGAATCCAGGCCTGTCAGAAGGAGGACAGGGGACAAGGGAAAAGGTGCAGTCTATGCCCAGCACCTACAGTAATCCACTCTTCATCTACCTCCTGGCTGTCTGCTGGGGTCAGCCCCATGTTGGACATGTCCCCTATCCCCTCAAGGACAGTTCTCTGCATGGTCTTGGACTGATCTTTTTGGATTGTAGTTTTCAAGAATAATCTGTCCTCTCACTCTTTCATTCCATTTTCACATGAAGCCCTGAAGAACCAGCCTCGGGGACATTTCCAGGCCTTTCTGAGGGTTGCCCTGCGCAGTTTTCTAGGCCTGCATTTATTTTGATTACACACAATGAAAACGGTTCAGTGTATCGCGATGAGAATAAGCAGCAGTCAGCATTCGGATGTGGGCTAATTTAACCCAGAAGTGTGCGCACTGCTCTCCAAGTCGGTGCTAATTAAGCTGGATTACTGTATTCATAAGCCGCAATGCCTTGTAATTCTTCTCTAAACAGCCAGACTTGTGTTTTATGACTTAATTACCAAGTCCCAGCCGTGTACATCGCCAGCAGGGGAAGCAAGGCCTCAGTTTGAGCACTGGGGCCAGGGCCCACGGCTCAGTGGAACCTCTCAGGAGAAATACCCTGGGATTCCTGACCCTCATTCCCTGCAGTTAGGCTGGGCCTAAAAGCTTGTTAACTCCAGGGACTTCTGTGGTGTGATTCAAAGACTTTTTCTTTTCTCTCTGTATGAGCTCATTTTTACCTTCTGAAATCATCCCAGACATGGAGTCTTCAAAAAATTAATGAAAAATGAATATTAAGAAAAAATTATGGGGAACCAGCAGTTAGCGTAATGGCTATGTTGCTGGACTCCCACGTAGTCAACCGCGGTTCGCATCCCGGACCCGGTGACTTAAAACTCACACTGGGCGCATGTGCGTGCGTGCCCAAGATCCTGAGAGGAGAATGGAGGAGAAGGGATTGCGACGTGACCGGTGATTTCTCACTTTCTGTCTCTATGTTTCTCTCTGTCTGTCTGGCGAGTGCACGCGCCCTATAGCGAAAAAACCTCTCCAAAAAAAGAAAAAAAAAAGAAAAAATTATGCATGGATTTCTATTTCTCTTTTGGGGGTAGCAAATTAACGTGCTATTTTTCCATAAACTTGTTGAAGCGTTCTCTCATCAGCTCATACACAAACATTTCTAACATGCCTGACATGTTAGAACCTGTTTTGCAACAGTTTGGTTGTATGTCCTAGCAGGACACCCCACCTTTAATAGGGCAAAGTTTTTGTTGTTTGTGTTCTGTCCGCATTCACTCTGAACTTGAACTCGCTCAGGTGGTGTGGATCCTAGACACCTTTGAAGGCCTGCTGGGTTTCCTCTGATGATAGCTGTGACCCCATTTTCACTCAGCTCCCTGGGAAGCCCAGAACCAAATTTGCATCTCTTTAGTTTTTTTTGCTACAGGACACATGCCCTCTAGGAAGAGAGACAAAAAGAGAGAGAGAGGGAAAGTGAGAAATCAACCACACTGCAATCCCTCGTCTTCCAATCTCAAGATTTTCTGCATGCACACATAGGGCCTGGCATGTTTTTCAAGCTGTCAGGTCCAGGACTCAAACCATACAATCAGTCATGTGGGATCCAGCACCTTAACCTCCACACCCCCTAAACTTGAATAATTGTGTGCTTTATTCTGACACCCTCTGGTTTTGACAATCTACTCTTTCTTGGAGGTTCCTGCTCCTGGCTTTTTTTTTTTTTTTTAACATTTCTTCCTTTTAAGGCAAGGTTTGGCAAACTGTCCCCTGGGCCAAATTTGACCCAGAGACTATTTTTGTGTGCCCTACAAACTAAGAAAGGGTTTTACATGTTTAAAGGATTGTAAACACACACTCACACACAAATACAATCGTCCCCCCGTCCACAGTTTGTTAGCCATGGTCAACCATAGTTCAAAAACAGAAGAGTCCAGTATAAGATGTTTTAAAGGACAGACCACATTCATATGCCTTTTATTACTGTGTACTGTTAAGATTGGTTTAATTCATTACTCACTATCAATCTCTGTGCCTCATTTATAAATTCAACGTCATAGGTATGTATGTGTCGGGTTCAGCACTTCCCATGGTTTCAAGTATTCCCTGGGGCTCTAGGAGTGTCTTCCCTGTGGATAGGGGAGGGATTACTATATGCACACACATCCGTGCACACTGACACACATACATTCTCTTTTTTTTTCTTTGGAGAGGTTTTTGCCATAGAGCGTGTGCGCTTGCCAGACAGACAGACAAAGACAGAAAGCGAGAAATCACTCCCCGGGGGGATGGCCATACCGCAATCCCTTCTCCTCCCTTCTCCTCTCGGGATCTTGGGCACGCACGCACACGCCCCCGGCGTGAGTTTCAAGGACCACAGTCAACTACATGGGAGTCCAGCGACATAGCCATTACTCCAACTGCTGGTCCCTGACACAATACACTCTCACACGCACACAAAAACACATCCAACCCCACACCCAGGGAATAGGTGGCTTCTCGCCTAAAATCTCTACTCCCTAGTCCTTGGCAGGTGATGTTTGCTGTCCTCCCATTCATGGTGGCACCCGTGATGAGGGGAGGATGAGATAAAACTTCCTACCCACTACCTGGGAGGTGGACTGTGCTCTTGGGCTTCCACACACTGTCATTGATTCCAGCCATGAGGCCCTAGATCTATGAGTACGGGCTTCATTCTAGTGCCAAACCCCAGGACTGGGTTGACCAGCCGGACACCCTGACCCAAGGTGTGGACAGGTCCTTGGCACATTGGTCACCAACTCTCAGAGTTCAGGCAGATAGACACCTAACACAAGTTCTATGGAATGGGTTTATTCGACACCCAGGCAGCCTGGGATAGCACCAGCCTAGGGCTCCCCCAAGCTGTCTAGGTCTTGACAGCATATGCCCCACTTTTACCTCAGCTAAAGGGCCCTGAACAGCAGTCCTCCCCATGCTTCATCCACAGGAAACCTGGCTTACTAGGCTACAGTAAGACACCCTGTTTCTTTTTTTTCCTTTTCTTTTTTTTTTTTTTTTTTTTTTGAGGGTTTTTGCTATCGGGACC